TCTTGCGTTGGCAAGACATGCACACATGGCAAATTAAAGAGGCAATTTGTTCTCTGTGCATGCAGGTACTTTTAGGCCACATAGCTAAAAGGAAACATTATTGGGGTGAGATTAATTTTAATTCACAGATGGACACAAAATAAATTTGAACCAGCTAGGTGGATCACAAGAATAGGAGCAGGCCAGATGACACCTCACGTCTACTCTGCCGTTCAAGTAAACTCACAGCTGATCTGATTATAGACATTATCTGATTAAATTCACTTTCCTGCCTCTCCCCCAGAACTGTAGACTCTCTTGTCAATCAATGAAAATCTAACTCAACCTTTAAGATATCCAATGACCCAGCCTCCACCGTTTGTAAGGAAGAGAATTTCAAAGATTATTGACCCTTTGAGATAAAGTTTATAATTAATGAGGATGAGGAGCTGCTCAGTGTAAAATCTGTAGAAGGATTTTAAGTGGTGAGCAAGGTCAAACAAGGTGAGGTGGCTAATGGGGGAAAAGATTAAGATATAATTAGGTGCTGAGAACCAAATTACAGCAGTGGCTTTGTCCAGGACACACGGTTGAAATGATAGCAAAGGAGGCTTTGGTAGCTGGCAAGGTGTTCTCCAATGGAATGCCAGCATCCTGTGAAAGCCCAGATGTCATTGCAATCACTTATAATGAGATGGTTATAATTCTGTAAGTTGACAATGTTATATTGAGGTTCAGCAGAATAGCAGACTGGGTGAGAGTTTAAACTGGTGAGAAGCTAGTTTTGAAGTAATAGCACAGAATATTTAATATTCAGGCCAAACAGCAAAGATGAGAGAGGATCATGCTGTGATGGGAGACTGTTGTAGAAATTTTGTGAATGGATGAAAAGCTGGTTGAATGTCCTTCATCTGTATTTCCCTTCTGTGTGGACTCTTGAACTTGAAGCTGTTGAAGGCAGGCGTTGGGTTGAGAGAGGAGCTTGCTATTATCCTACTTCAGGAAAATGCTCCATCTAGTGGTAAATAAAAGCTGTCATAAATCAGGTGTCCAGTATTTTTAGATTTTAGATTTTAATGTCACATGTTCTCAAGTATAGAAGTACAGTGAAAAGTGTATAATCTCACTACACGTGGCACCATCTTAGGTACCAAGGTACAAAAAATCTGAGGTACAAACTAGTAAGAGGAATGAGAGTTAAAAAGTTAATCATTACTTCATAAAATAGTAAGAAAAAATAAATAGGTAATAGTTGACATTAAAGTCTTTTATTTATTCCTTTATTTTCCCAGTTTAAAGTTCAGCAGTCTTTAATGAGTTCTCTGCTTATTTCAGGGGGGAGACCTCGGCTGTCTGTTTGACGCCGCCACCACCGCCGAAACTGCTGCATCTCTGATCTCGCCCAATGCCTCGGGAACATGCCCAGGCAGGATCCACTCGTACGCCGAGCCGAGGCACCGCCACAAGCCGCCGAGGGACCAGTCCAGGACGACACCAAAAAGGGAGTGGGGGGAAAAGGGGGAGAAAAAGAGAAGGAAACAAATAACAGAAGGAGCGGAGGAGTTCTGGTTGGAGCATCCTACTCCGCTGCCTTCTTGGATGACTTGTTGTCATTTGAAGTTAAGGTGAAGTTTTAGCTCCCGTCCCCATCCCCCGACACACACGTGGACTTGATGTTGTAAGGGACCAATTTTCAGCTGGTATGCTACTGATAGGAGAAAAGAATTGAAATTATCTCCAAATAGGTATAAGGAGCGGGAAGAAGGTCACTGGAAAGAGGATGCTAGTGAGAGAGTAGGGAAAGAAAAGAGACAGCAAGAGATAGATAGGTATCAACCTCCAAAATAAAGTTATTCTTTAGCACCAATCTTTTAAAACTGCTTCATTGGGTTCTTATTCAAATTTTCGTGTGGGTACTAATTTAAAAATTAATTCTGCTTTCATTGAGTAAATGACTATAACACAGTCCTTGAGTACTTGTGCAATATCCTGACCTACATGTGCTGGACTGGAAGCCAAAGTTTGATTTTAAAATTCAAGCTAACTTTTAAATCTCTCTTATGGCCTCACTCCACTTTAGTTAACTTCCTCCAAATCCCCAAGATCTCTGCTTCCCCCACACTGGCCTGATTTTAATTGCTTCATTGGCAGCTAAATTCTGGAATTCCCACCCTAATCCTCCACCTTTTAATATACTAAGCCTACTTTTTTCAAAAAACAATTTTTTCACCATCTACTCTAACATTTCCTTAATGAGATGTAACATCAACTTTTTAAAAATCTGGTTCTAGTCCTGTGAAGGGCCCTTGAGACATCAACTAAGTTAAAGTAGCTATTCAAGTGCAAGTTGGTTTGGTTGGAGCAGTGGAATTGCTTCTTTGCTCTGTTGATATTTGTGTTGGAGATTTCCAGACAATGAGGATAAACAATATAAAAGGAGCAAATTTCATCACATCACTTTTTCTGTTCAGTGGTCCTAAGTTATCTTGACCATGGGTATCGACCTCTCTAGTAGCAGCTCTGAAGTGTTGTATAAATGCTGAAAATAAATAGATGTGTAGCAAAGCTAGAATAGTAAATAATGGAGGATTTTAATTTTGTTTGCCTCACCCAAACTATGTTAAAGTATCTCTTATAAAGGTAGTAAATTTTTGGAGTGTGTCTGGGATAGTGATACTACAGTAGTATGTTCTTGATGCTACAAAATGACATGATATTGGATTTAGTAATGAGCCAGATTTAATTACCCACCTAATTGGTGTGCAAACATTTGTCAAATAATGATCATAAAATAATTGCATTCAATCTCACATTTGAAGCAAAAAAAGCATAAGTTAGCTAGGGTTTTAGATTTTGGTGAGGCTGACTTTAATGAGACAAACTTTCCACAAAACAGGAAAAGCTGCTAGTAGGTAGAACTACTAAAAGAGGTGAAAGATGATGTTTAAAGGAACATTTAAACAATACCAAGTTAAAAAATTTAAAATACCTTCATTTTTGAAAATGCATGGTAGCTCTGTGGGATGTCAAATTCCCATATGTTTTTTTTCTCTCCACAAAAGAAACATACAGAACAGATTGCGAAATCTTCATATTTAATTTTAAATTTTTCATGAATAAAGTATATTTTTGCAATAAGTCAAACTTTGTAGGATGTGAAACAGCAATGTGTCATTAGTGTTTCCTTCCTCTCTCTGCAAAGATGGTGCTGAATGGATTGAGAACCCTTTGTGTGTACTTGGACAATTTTCATGAAAAGTATATTTCACAGTACAAAACCAGTTTATACCTCTGATAGGGGAAAAGCTCTACTTCAGAGAGAAAAAAAAAACAACCATGGACAACTAAAGAGATAAGGGGCAAAAAAGTGAAAGAAAGAGCTTACAAGAATGTAAAACAATGTAGATCCTGCTGAATGGGAACGTTACAAAGACCAAAGGGCCACAAAGCAGATATGAGCTACCAAAAAGGATTATGAAAGGAAACTTGCAAGGGACAAGATCAACAAGATTAAATTTTATACTTACATGAAGGAGAAGCAGACCACTAAAAGACTGAAACTGGGGATAGTGTCAGTGACTGTAGGGAAATGGCAGATATGTGGAATAATTATTTTGCCTGTGTTTACAGTAGAAGTCGTCCAGAGGAAATTAATGGTGGATTAGTAGGGTGGCACAGTGGCTCAGTGGTTAGCACTGCTGCCTCACAGTGCCAGGGACCCGGGTTTGATTCCACCCTCAGGCGACTGTCTGTGTGGAGTTTGCACATTCTACCCATGTTTGTGTGGGATTCCTCCCACAATCCAAAAAAAGTGTGCAGATTAGGTGGACTGGCCATGCTAAATTGCCCATAGCGTTCAGGGATGTGTAGATTAGGAGGGGATGGGTCAGGGTGGGATGCTGAGGGTTAGCGTGAACTTGTTGGGCCGAAGGGCCTGTTTCCACACTGTAGGGATTCTATGGATCAGGGACAGGGACTGATTAAAATTTAATATGTAAAACATCAGTAGTGAGAAAATTAATGGTATTAAAAAGAGTAACACATCCCCAGGACCTGACTGTTTCCATCAAAAAGGTGTTAAAAGGACATTGGGGAGCATATTGTAAACCTTTTATTGTTTAGTAGATACAAGAATCATTGCTAACCATTGTGCCACCATGCTGTGTAATTAAAGGAGGGTTTGATTGTGGCAAGCACTGCTGCTTTACAGCACCGGAGACCCAGGTTTGTTTCCAGCCTTGAGCAACTGTGTGGAGTTTGCATATTCTCCGTGTCTGTATAGGTTTCCTCCAGGTGCTCCAGTTTCCTCCTATAGCCCAGGAGAGGGACAGGTTAAGTGGATTGGCTATGCTAAATTCCCCCATAGTGTCCAGGAATGTGCTGACTAGGTGGATTAGCCATGAGAAATGCAGGTGGTTAGGGTAGGGGTGTGGGTCTGGGTGGGATGCTTTTCAGAGGGTCGATGTGGACCTACTTCCACACTATGATTCCAGTCATTTACAGGAACAGGGCAGATAAATTATTTCCACTGGTTGGGGATTCTACAACTAAGGGGCATAGTTTAAAAATTTTGGAAAGGAAGCACTTCTATACTCAAATGCATGATTGATGTTTGGTGCAGTGGATTTTAAAGCAGTTCTTCCTTTTAAATTGAAGATAGATAATAAACTTTTGTTCACAGTAAGAGGTAAGAGATAAGGGTCAAGGACAGGTATATGGAATTAACTCACAGATGAGCCAAGATCTCACTGAATGGCAGAATAGGTTTGAGGGGCTGAATGGCCTACTCCTGTTCCTATGAATAACTTTTGTCTTTAAAATCATCTCTGCAGGCCCTGCAAGTGTACAGTAATTCTGCTGCAAAAGGATTCCAAGTCTGCTTAGCAATTTTTCATATTCGTTGGCAAAAGGAACATTGTGCTTTAAGATAACATGCACACCTTGTAAGCCCCAGATTAGAATAATAGTTATTTCTTAGGACTTATTACTGATGTAGAGTTAAATAAAGCAGAGCATAATAATACAAGAAAGTTGCATATATCTTTATTATGAGATAATACTGTGTTGATAGAAACATTTCAGGATAGTTAATACGCCATCCACAATAAGGCAAACAATTCAGGTTTCAAATTCAGCTTAGGAAGTCATCCTAGTGTCACAGCAGTGATAAAGGATTGCAGATAAATAAATATTTTTAGAAATAAACACATTACTTCCTGTTGGTTTTGTGCAATATTGTGTGAAGATAAAGTTATTAAGAGTCCTGGCTCTTGCTCGAAGCCCGCAGCTGTGCTATAACATGAAAATTCTCACGTTGACTTGCACATGCAATCTCCAAGACTGTGGAGAGATGTTTGGCAGAGCTAAAATGCAGAAGCCCATGCATTTCAATGAATTTGCTGCTCCAAGCAAAATAAAGGGCATATCAGCCAAAGTAATTACTACAATAAAATGTTTTCAACTAGATTAGCAGCAGCACAAATACAGGTGATAAAGTTATGGTGGGAAGAGAGACATATTAGCAGGAACTAATATGGAGCAAATCATTTGCAGTACCTTCCAAACAAAGTACCTAATCAGGTTCAAACAAACCAACAGGTTGTTAATATTTGAAATTTGTCCTGCAAATTAGTTTTTGTCTCAATATTTTATGGGATGTGGGGTCATTGGCAAAAGACAAAATTTATTGGCCATCCTTAATTGTCCTTGAACTGAGTGGCTTGCTAGATGCATTTCAGAGCACATTGAAGAATCAAATGCATTGCTATGGATCTGAAATCACGCTTAGACAGATTTCTTTCTCTAAAAGGCATTTGTGAAGTAGACATTGCGATGAGGAGTTTCAGTTACTACCGAGACTAGCTTTCAATCCCAGATTTGTTAACCATGATCAAATTTTAGCAATGATCATGGTGGGATTTGAACCTATATTCACAGAGCCTATTAGATTACCAGACTAGTGACATTGGCAGGGGGAGAAAGGAGGAGAAAGGAGGAGAAGATGTAGTTCAGTTATAATTAGTAAATATTAACATTTGCTACAAGGGAGACTAAATGTGGCAGGAGTAAACTTAAGTTATGAATCTACCTTTGGCACCACAAATTAGATATTATTACTTCATTTTTCCAGTCCCCCCCAAGTTCTTTCTACCATATGATGAAATAGCATAGGTTGACTACAATCTAGTTCACAGTTGCTGCAAATATTAAACAGGATGAGAACAAAAAAAGACTGATTGGCTATAAAATGCAATTGACTTGAGCACAAATCTTTACATTTAGTTAAATGATACAACATAAAACAAACTAATATAGCATTTTGATTTTTTTTTAAAAAACATTATAGCACACTGTCACTCAACCCAGATGTGGGTGTGCAGATGGCTGCCAAGTGTTGAATCTTTCATTATTCAAAGCAAACTTAAGGAAAGAAATTTGCACATATTCAACAAGCAAGTTTTTGTTTTTAGGTATTAATATGCATCAGAAATTGCTAAAATCCTTGTGTAAATTATTCATGTTTGGATGGGGAAACATTAGATTTAAAAATGTATTAAGTTAATAGGAAGTTTGATGTGGTCATATAGATGGATAGTCTGCCCATGTCCACAAGTTAGTATGGGGACAGTATAACTGCCCCAATGTTACTAGAAATGCAGTAGCATTGTTTATTGATTGCTTTCATTACCACATGCAAAGATCTGATCTTACAATTGCAAGTCAAACTCACTCACAATCCTGATTTCAGGTTAGAGATAGAACTCACAATAATGACTGGTGGGCTCTCTAGAATAAATGCTCACTGCTTTCCTCCTTTAAGGCCAAGTTTTGGTCACTTGACCTAATATCTCTGTGACTTTATCATACCATAATTTTACAATGCTCCTGTCAGGCATCTTTAATTAATATAGTGTCTTTAATATAATAAAGTTGTTGAATAGGGGTCCCTTAAAAGATCAGATTGAGAGTGCTACAGTAGTGAATGAATTATATCCTTTGGTATATCACATATATATGCAGAATTAGGTACACACCAGTATTTGTATTAAAGTGCTAACAAGTGTGCATATTATTATCAAAATGCTTTTAGAGTTTGTTTAGAGTTATTTTTATAAAATTGTGAAACTTTCTCAGTGATACATGTGTTTTCTCTTGTAACATTGTCAAATATGAAAAATTTTTCTAGAAGTGAAAGTCTATGTGGTATTAAGTCAGATGATACTAGACAAATGTGGATCTTCAAAGCTCAAACGAATATTCAGTTAGTTTTTTCAGTTACCTGGACAAGTGTAGCACTAGCAATATTCAAGAAACTTAACATAGTCTAGATCAGAACAGTTTATTTAATGAGAACTCCTGCTACTGAAATCAATATCCTACTTTTAACAATTGTAGTGGCATCAAGGGTGGGAATAGTTCAAGCTTTTCAGGGTAATTATGGCTTGATGATAAATATTGCCTTTGCCAGTTTCACCCCATCCAAAAGAACCAATAAAACAATATCAAAATGCACATACTGGAAATTCAAAAAGAAAATGAAAAATGCAGAAAAACTCAGCATCTTTGGAGAAAGAAACAAAATTAACATTTTGGATCAGTGATTTTTCTAGCCACATCTACTAAATATGTTTCAGCATTTTCTATTTTAATGAGCAAATCTAAAGTTGATGACCACTTTCATTTCAGCATCTCATTATTGAAGATTTGCACAAAACAAATCAACAAGCACATTAGCAGATGCAGGTACAAACCTTGCTTTGGCCAAAGGATCAACTGGTCACTTTGACTTTACAGCAGCCATGTGCTTAGAGTTTGTAAAAACACCCACAGCCAAAAGTATCATCCCTGCAGCGTCTATGTTCTATGTTCTATGAACAGGATAAATGCATGCCATGTTCAAGACAGCTATTTCTCCCAATATTTCACATTGGATGCATGCATAGACAACTGATATTAAAATGGAGATTACAAAATAAATACTTAGATTCTATATCCTGTAGGACTCTACAGCAACTGAAAAGGCACCGAGGGAAATATAGCAAATCCAGTAAAACAAAAAAATGTAATCCAGGAACTGAACTGGAAATAACAACAAAATGCATCTTGCCACTAAAGCATTAAAAAAAGAGAGAGGAGGGCTTCCGTTACTATTTTCTTCAAATATTTCAAATCTTTAAAATCGATGATGCTAACATGTGGAAAGATTCTTTCGCTGTTAGGCATGAGCAATGTTCATGGTGTTACTCAAGGCCATTCCATTACAGGACCCCTGGAGTAACTGCACAACACGTCAACAAGCACAAAACCAGACCAGGCACCATCTCCCAACTTAGGTTTGCTTAAAAAAAAGTTAATTTCATGCAATGTGAATAAATAAAATCAGGTTATAAAGTCTTGTTGTATTATCAAAACATATCAAAAATGCAATTATAAATGCAAGTAAAATAGATGATATATACAGGCCGAGAATATCAACAGCCCAATACTTTCAATTAACAAACAGTGCAAAAACATTGTTACAGGTTCAGTAAGGATCCCTTACAAATTCAGAACACTAAAATACCATTAAAAGTTTTGTAAGAGTCAACGATTGACTTAAGAATTAATGATTATCATCTGCCAGAGACTGAGTCATCAGTAATTCACCAGACAAGTATCAGGTGTAACATTAATAATGGATAGTTTTTTCTCCCCCCCCAATCCAAGTAATGTCTCCTCAGTTCTCCACATTCACACTATCACAAAGTATACACAATGTTGTTTTCAAATAACTAACAATGTCCTATGAAATGGAATCAGATACTCTAGAGCTTTGTAACAGTGTTCTTTCAGCTGCAGATCATACCATCTGGTTTCAACTTTTTCCTCTTTCCCTTGATTTTCTACCAACTGCTCAACACCATATCATCTAAACAGAGTAAAAGGAATCCTAAAGCACAACTAACATACATCTGGGCAAGAATCTGTATATAAAAAGTGGAACCATGCCAGACAGACATTGAGTGCAGAAGTACATCAGTCAATGCCTGATTGCCTGTTTCTCTATAAGTAATTCAGATACACAAACGATTTCTAACTCATTAAATTCACAAAAGACAAATTATTTACAAAATAGGTGTGCAAGAGAATTTAGATCAATTGTGTAACAGAAATCAAAAGCAAAGATAGAAGTTAAATGATATTTTAAAAACCAAACACAATGGAAACATTGAAAAGCATTTTGTCAGCTCAATCCCTTTCTACGTAAAGACAATGTGGAAAGCACTGAAGAAAAATATTAAGATACTTGGTGACAAAAATGAACCATTGAGCTATGGAATTAACACTAAGGCTTTACAACTGTCAGACTCAAAGGCAGAGATAGTAGGAACTGCAGATGCTGGAGAATCTGAGATAACAAGGTGTAGAGCTGGATGAACACAGCAGGCCAAGCAGCATGGCTGATGTTTCGGGCCTAGACCCTTCTTCAGAAATGGGTCTAGAAGAAGGGTCTAGGCCTGAAACGTCAGACTCAAAGGCAGACTTCCTTTTTAAGTGCAGCATTAATTTTCATCAACCTTTTCATGTCACTGATGTGATAGAGCTATGGTTTAAATAAAATTGACTGACATTGGAGAACCTCCAGCTACATGACAAAGCATTGAAGAGTATGGATAACAGTAACATGGAATGAGATGAAAATATCCAGTTGGATCAGAGCATATATCACAGCAATGACTTGAAAAGAGCTTGAAAACATTTCAGCACTGAAAGGTTGAAATATCTGGGATGCTGTATAATTAAGGTAAAAGACATTAAGAACTTCTAAAAGCAGTTCAGTATCATGCTGAGTGAGTTACAGCATGGACAAAGCAAGCTTCAATGTGCCAAATGGTCATCTGTCACTCAAGTCTTCAAGTTAATGTGCTGTAGTGCTATAATGCACTCTCGAAGTTTCCTTCCAAGGTTGTCAAGGCAGAAAATAATTTGCACAATTAAAAGGAAAAGGGCTCAAGAAAACAAACAGGTTCAGGCAAGATAACCTGCTGGAACTGGAGGATTTGCAGTCAAATAAGTTCGATAATTGAGACGTAGGAACACAAATCTACATTGTCAACTTCTGTGGCATGAAGAAAATCTCTCATTTCTTCAGGGTGGATGATTTTACTTTCTCAAACATGGCTACATTTTCTAAGGCAACAACATATTTCAGATTCTGCAAAACATTGCCACTAATTAAAGGCAACTTGACTAGATTTTAAAGTGCAGAAAATAAATCTACATGAAATGACAAAAAAGATGCCCAAATTGACTGATGGGCAAAAGCACATTTCACAATATCAAATCATACGAAACCATTATGAAACTATGCAATTGTCATCAAGTTTCAAAAAGTGTCACTCCTGGTCTATGCTGAATCAGTTCAGCTTGACCGGAAGAATTGTGGATTGCCCTCAAGAGCGAAAAACGATCCTGCTGATTTCTAACTGGAAAAGCATGCATCAAAATAATAATTTAAAAAAAAAAAAACCAAACTTACTTGGCCTCGACTGTCAAGTCATCTTGACAGGTCAAATTAGCAGGCTCACAGGCTAGCAAAGCAATTAGCTGGAGGGGTATTGGAAGTTGGGCCCACAAGTGCTGGTCCTAACAACCGAGTTATTATAAAGTAAAGATCCTTAAAAGAGCTTCTAGTATTATGATTCAGAAGTTTCAAAACAAAAAAAAAAAAGACTTGCTTTGAGAAAGAAGTTGGCTGATTTGCACATTAGGTGTCATCATTTTATAAAATGAATACATCTGAAACATTCAGGAAAAATGGAAGTTGAATTCTGCATGTCCTAGAATACACAACTTCAGGACATGTAATTTACTATTAGTTAGTTCACCATTTACTAAACTACTTACAAAAGCCCTAGGTGTCTATAACAGATCAAATATCCAGTTACTTGAAAACCCACAATATATTCATTCATCCATACTCTGACAGAAGCAATACAATGTAGTCTCCAAACCTAATACCAAATTGAAGACTTGAGTTGGATTTTGTGGTTACTTGATACTTAGTTTTCTTCTCAAGCAAGAGAAGAGAAAGGAATAAAGTTGTATTACACTGACACTCCTGTAGCTGTGTAGAGGTATAAGGCACTAAACAGTTAGCCTGCACTGTATTGACAGCGCAATACAAAATCATTACATAGTCTGTACTGCTCTTAAGGAGCAGAATAAGGCACTAAATATTCAGCCTGCATTTTCTGCTGAGATAAAAGTCAGTACACAAGGGTGCTTGAAAACTTAACATACAGAAAACAAATTTGGAAAAAACAACAGACATTACGCATGCTTCCAATTTCACCACAGGGAATCTAGCCAACAGTATCAGTGAGAGCAGTTTGCCAAAAAAAATTTAAACCACCTTGTAGTTTCCTATTGCCCATTCTACAAACCTAAGTCCCAGGGTTCGGGAATTCTTCACCATAGCAAAGAAAAAAAGCTATGGCAATGTATACCAATTTACTGATTCTACCTAATTCTGGAAGTCAACCCATTACACTTGGGATTTAAGGGTAGGTGCTTAATCATTAACATGTCAATACTAGCATCCTTTTCTTCTTTTCCAATTTAAGTTTCTTGCACCCTTGGCTACTGATTGTTGCCACTCTTCTCATTAAAGCTTACACAGGTAAACAGAGTTATGGCAAATGCAATTACAAGCTTGCCAAAGCAATGTCATCGCTTTATTGCAAATTGGCATTTCAAGACCAAAGCACTCCCTTTCCCAATTCTTTGGCATCATTCATTAAAAGCATTAAACCCTGAATGTAACACTGTAAACTGAACTCGAGTCAGCCTGTCTGAATCTCTGCCTGGTTGTCTTTATTTACTGTTGAGGTGGTCAACTGTGGTGGTGAGTTTTCAGAGTTGACTTTGGCTTGAGGGCACCCAGTGTTCCGATCAGTGCTCTCAATTCCCACGTACAAGTTGCTATCTTTCAGAATGTCCTGTGGATCTCTTAAGAAGACCAGCACCACAGTGATGTTGTCATTAGAGCCACCTTCTTTAGCAGCTGCTACAAGTGACTCTGCAACTGTACTGCCATCACCTCCATTCTCTTCCAAGTGTTCTTGCACAAGGTCCACAACTCTAGAAGGTTCAACTCCATCAAAGAAGCCATCACAGGCTAAAACAACGTAGTCCTCTGTGCCATTTAGCTTGAATGAGGCACTGTCTGCATCACCCGAAACATATGGTTTTTGGTCAATGTCCCCTAAAGGAATGAACAAAAATCATCTTGATAACAGACAGAAAATCAACATATTGGAGCTTATTACAGTGCAGAATGTCAGGATACACCCACTTGATCAACGCACAAGGGTGCTTATCTTAAGAATGTAGGGATCTTTCAGGAATCACTGGAGTCAGGGAGGGTCCCAGAGGACTGGAAAATGTAACACCCCTGTTTAAGGAGGAAGGGAGGCAGAAGATGAGAAATTATACCATCTCAGTTGTTAAGGTTTTAACAGATCACAATTAAGGATGAAATTCAGAGTACTTACAACTACATGGTAAAATAGAACGGAGTCAGAACAGCGTCGTCAAGGGGAGGTCATGCCTGATAAATCTGGTTAGAATTCTTTGAGGGGTAATGAGCAAGTTAGATAAAACAGATCACATCCACCTATTCCATTTTGATTTGCAGAAGGTCTTTGTCAAGGTGCTGCACAGGAGGCTGCTAAATAAGGTAAGAGCAAATGGTGTTAAGGGCAGTTATAGCTTAACAAGCTCTGGACAAAGGAACTGAGGGCATTGTTGCTAAGTCTGCAGATGATGCAAATGATAGGTGGAAGGACAGATAGTGTTGGGGAGGCAGGGAGACTACAGAATGACTTGGACAGGCTAGGAGAGTAGGCAAGGAAGTAGCAGATGGAATACAATATGGGAAAGTGAGAGGTTATGCACTTTGGTAGTAAGAGGAGGAGCATAGACTGTTCTAAATGGGGAAAGGCTTCAGAAATCTGAAGCACAGAGGGACTTGAGTCCTATTCAGGATTCTCTGGAGGTTAAGATGCTGGTTCAGGTGGCAGTTAGGAAACAAATGCAGTGTTAGTACTCATTTTAAGAGGGCTAGAATACAAGAGCAGAGACGTACTGCTGAGGCTGTACAAGGCTCTGGTCAGACTGCTTTTGGAATATTGACAGAAGTTTTGGGCCCCGTATCTGAAAGGGTCAATGTGCTGGCCTTGGAGGGAGACCAGAAGTTGTTCACAAGAATGAGTTTGTCATTTGAGCAGTTGAAGACACTGGATCTATACTCAATTGAGTTTAGAAGGATGAGGGGGGAAAAATCATATTGAATTTACAGAATACTGAGAGGCCTAGATAGAGTGAACGTGGAGAAGATGTTTCCACTAGGAGAGACCAGGGTCCGAAGATACAGCCTCAGTGATTAATCTGTGGAACTCACTGCCAGAGGGTTGTGGATGCCAAGTCACTGAGTGTATCGAAGACAGAGATAGATAGGTTTTTGATTAGAGAGAGGATCAAAAAGGTTACAGACAGAACACAGGAGAATGAGGTGGAGAAATAGATCAGCCACTACCGAATGGTGCAACAGATGTGATGGGTCGAATGGCCTAATTTTGCTCCTATGGTTTTAATAGTTACCAAAATTCTAATGGACAACTTGGCCATCCTGGTGGCCAGAAAAAAAAGGATTTATCAAAAAAGAAAAATATGCAATACTCAGAACCAACTTATTGAAACATTTTCTATCAGGGGATCTAATGAATTCGGATACTTTTAAAGTTACCATGACTTTTTTGGGCATTTATAAGAAAGAGCTTTACCATCCTATTATGCATTAAACTGGATCCAAGTGTTCTTGATGGGAAAGGCAAGATTCTGGCTGCCTTTGGTTTGTACTGAATCTATGAATTCATTTAAAAAAAACCGTGCTAATAACTAGATAATATCTCAAATTCTCTCCAATGGTTTCAAAACAGCGCTAATGCTGGAAATCAAAACATTTTATTCATTTGGTTTCAGCAAACATTCTAGATCAGTTACAACAGAGCCAGCCAGAGGAAATGCATTGGCAATAATACACTAGAATCCCAAACTCAACAGTACAGTACAATAAAGAGAGAAAGTATTGGTGTAACTCAGCAGGTCTGGCAGTATCTATGGAGCGAGAGAGACAAATAGAGTTAACGTTTAGGATCTGCTATGACTTCTTCAGAACTCAGGTGTTCCAGTGCAAGTTTTTCCCGTTCCAACACAAGACAAAACGTCCTTGTGAACTGCTCAGATATTTCAATCTATAAAAGGGATGGTTGATAGGAGTACTTCTTCACTCCAGCTCTATTGCCTCCGATTTGCTCTACTACTGGTCAGATATCCATTGTCTGTGATCAGATATATGTGTGGCACCTAACTCTTAGGAAGGCCAAAACTACTCTCTTGAGCTTCCATCAGAAACAGAGCTTCCATCAGAAACAGAGCTTCCATCAGA